GGATTAAAATTTCAATTATTTAATTTTCTATGAAGTGCATGAGTACAAATACTTCTGTACATTAATTGTGATTAATTTCACTAGAAAATGTAATGACCAACATGTACATGTACTGTACACTTGTAATCTCTCTCTCTTCTCTCTCTCCTTTCTCTCTCTCTCACTCTCTCTCCCTCCCTCTCTCTCTCCCACTCTCACTCCCTCTCTCTCTCTTTTTCTCTCTCTCTCCCTCCCTCCTCCTCTCAGATTGAAGACACTGATGATTACAATTCAGTTGAAATTCAGGAGGTTCTTCTTAACATGAGGAAGCAGAGACTGGGTCTCATACAAACCCCTGACCAGTTGAGGTTTTCGTATGTGGCCATACTCCAGAGGATATGGAAGAGAATGGCCGACGCTGACGATGAGAAGAGAAGCCAAGAAGAAGAGGAGGAGGATGATCTACCAGGGAGTGAATCTGAGGAGATTGAAGATGAAGATGGTAAGAGAGAGAGAGGGAGGGAGAAAGATGAAAGAATTACCTTAAGCCTACTATTATTTGCGTCTACTAATTTTAGTGAAATCAGCAAAAGTCATGTTTAGCGTTACTAATTTTAGCGTTTTTAACCAAATTAACTATAAATAATAACCATTGTAATGAATAATAATTATTTTGGCATCTATTTAATTTAGCGGTTTAAAGCTCTTTCGCTAATATAGCTAAATTTAGTAGACACTAAAAATAGTAGGCTTAAGGTACGTGTAATAATTAAAATACATGCATTCATAAAAGATGGATGAGTAGCAATGTATAATTTAAAATAATTTTTATAGTGCCTAAAGCTAGGTTTACATTTGACGAAATAGTCAAAAGTACATTGGCGATGCAAAACCACTTTAAAGTTGGCACAAAATTGGCCAAATTATAATTTTTCACTCGTTTGCATTGCGTTTTGTGGTGAGCATGAACCAGATTTTAATCAGTTGCAATAAAAGTCAAGCAGTTTTCCCACCATTTAAAATTTAAAACTGAATTTATTTATTTTGTAGATGAGTCGGGTCAGAATGGTACCCAGAAGGTCAATATTTATAAAGATCAGGACTTCAGTAATGATGCTCCGCCCCCTATACCGCCCAGACCACCAGACATGATAAGGAATGAATCACCTTCTCCTCCTCCTCCACCAAACCTACCACCACCAGGTATTCATTAATTAATTATTATAATTTTATTATTGAAGTAATTCTTAATTTTATTACATTTTGTCCATTTTTATGATTTTTTTATTTTTGCTCAAAAAAATTTGACAAAAATGAAAGGGAGAGAATTCTTCATTTTTATAATTTTTCCTGATACATATACATGTTTTTATGTTGTGTAGAAAGTTTGAACTGATTCCGACCAAAAGTAAATTTTTTTACGAATTTTTAAAGTTGCTCCAAAATCAGACAAAAGTCCCTGTACTATAGTACAAGGTCATTAGCCAAATTTCGCCAAAAATGAAAAGTGGA